AAGCTAAACAGCAACCAAAAATAGCCAGGCAGCTCTGCAGCCCTAACACAACACCCTGCAAAAAAAATGTACCAGCCAGATTTTAATAGCCTGTCATTCTCCCTGCTGTAAGGGCTACGTGCCACCTTCTGGCCCCATCACACAATAATCCATCAAACTCTCACTGGCACAGCAGAGGTGACCCAGGACCACACACTCCTAATAGGCAAAATCCCACTGATAACCACTGAGACAGCATCTGAAACACTTTGAATCCCTGCAAATATCTGCCTGCAGTCCACACAGAGCATCTCTTTCTGTCCACTCTCCTTCCCAAAAACATTCATCTGAGAAAGGTCATTATTTCTGCTTTTGACTGGAGACAAGAACTCTGGAGGACTCTCAGGTTACCACAATAATTAAGAGAGACTTTAACAGCATGTTTCCATGCCAAAGGCCCTGAAATGCAGTACAGAGAACATAAGAAAAATAAAGTAAAACAAACAGCTTACTCCTCATGGAACACTGCCAGCTCCCAGGTGAAACACAACTGTTACAAAATTGCATGCAGCAACATGAGAAGTTTGAAGAAGAACCAGAAAGGAACATCATCCAGTTGATAGCAGGTTACCCTGTCTGGATTTTGATTGAAGGAATGTTGAATAAATTAGCACTGCAGAAGTATTCTGTGGTATGTAATGGCAGCCCAACTTCTCACCTCATGGACTCACATGAAAGCTATAGATTTGAAAAGCCTATGGTAAGATCAGAAGACCCAACCCAAGCCCACAGCTGCTCATGAGCCCCCTGCCTCTGACCAGTGACAGAAGCTCAGAAAAAGGCTGTAAGAAAGAGAGGATGACAGAGCAATCCTTGGCAGCATCAGCCATCTCCTCCCAAAGGAACCAAAACCAGGATATTTGCAAATTTTCTGAGACCAATCACTGCAAACCCTGGAAGCAACTTGTATCCACAACAAGTGTGGCAATGACGTGGGAGGTCAGCAAAATTGGTCTTCACAATAACAGAAGAAAATCCAAATTTATCCATATTCTGGCAGACAACATCGGTGACAATCCAGAACTGGCTGGAGTTCACCTTTTCAAGACACTGATTGCTCTCTGACTTCACAAGATTAACAGGAAGAACACTGCAAGACACATTTTCCACAAGATACCACAACATGACTGCTATTGTATGCACCAATTTTACATGTGCAAACTCCCCTGAAGTACAAGTGTCTGCACCAGACATATACACACTTGAATGAAAGAAAAGGTCATTTTTTGAAAGAGAGGCCTGCCAAAAAACTGAGAGAAAAGCAAATACGTTTAACTTATTTCAAATTATGGCAAAAATCTTGCTTGTAGAGGACAGCAAGCAGGAGAAGAAAGACAATATCTATGTCAGAGGTCCACCACTCAATCAAAATTACATATTCAGCAAGGCTAAGACTTAAAAGAGCAAGTGGATTGAAAAAAAAAGATTAATTTTTGTGTATGCTTAGTTTTGAGATTGCAACAGTGATGTTTAGGAGAACATGAGAGGAACTAATGTGGTGTCCAGAGACTAAGAGAGAGGGAAATCAATGAATGCACTTGAGAAAACAAGTGCAAGGAGAGAAGCAAAAGACAGTTTAGAGAGAATAAAGACTGGAGTGAAGGGTGAAGGGCAAGAGAAGGCGAGAGAAAGGTTCCAGTGAAGTTATGCAGTGATGTAAAAGGAGAAAATATTTATAAAGGGAGAAGCACTGAAGATACAAAACCTGGTTAACTGGCATTAACTTAGGGAGTGGTATTTCAAAAGGGCTGTAGAGGAACATGAACTCTGCTACATGATGTAACAGTGCAGTTGGCCTGTAGAAGCCAAAAACACGCATCCACAGAAATCCTGAGCTGCAGAAATCTGAGGGATGCTGCCCAAACACTGATTCTGTGTGTCCCAGCACAGTGATGGGAGAAACCTTAATTACTACTCCATAGCACCACCACAGCAGACTCCAAACACTTCACACATCCCCCCTGAAGAGTTGTCACATGGTGCAGAAGAAAACTACAGCAATAAAATAGCACTGGACAAGCTCTAGATTTGACTGTGACTGGTAACATTTTGTTGTTTACCTACTGAAACAATAACTGAGCACTGAAATTATGCTTTTTCTCTGGATCATCACAGTTTCCAATTGAAGGACGCTTTATAAAGAATTTCCCTTTTATTTGGCATATGAGTCAGATAGGCAGCATCCCCTGTCCACTCTCCCAGACTGAGATGTGTTACCTTAACCAGATTTCATCTGTGGTGAATGTTTACCATATGAAAACTTTACATATTAAACTCTGTCCATGCTAATATACACAGTGTAAATATCCTGGGGCCACTGCACTTTTCCTGGATAAGGAAAAGTTTGCTCCCATCCTAGAAAAACAACAGTTTTGAGTTCTACAGAAAAAAGTTTTAAAAATCATTCCCTGACACTGGTAGTTCCTCCCCTCTTGAAGCTTCAGTTGGTCAAACATCTTCAATCTACTCTGGCTATAAACCTCCATGGAAACACCAGGGTACAGCTGGGCTCCTACAAGAGTATCCCTCAGATTCTCAGTTTACTCTCCCCCTCCTCAAATTTAGGAGGAACTCCTAAAAAGCTGAAAAATGCACCTTGGCCCATAACAACTCACTTTGCTGGCAATATTGGACTCAATTCCTCCTTGATACCACAGCTGGGATCACACTCTCAGTGCTCTGCAGGGCATACAACCACCAGTAAAAATCTACTGGCTTAAACTTAATCCTGAAAGGATGATGGCAGTGATGCAGAGGAAAATACCCTGAGGCCCTGGTGAGCACTATAATTATGCCTTCCCTAAGAATGATCCCCATTCTTGTCCAAGTGGTTTGTACTTTCGGGGATTTACTGGATCTACTGCTGATCCCAGATTCTCAGACAAACCTTCCATTTCTCAGCAGTCTGTGATTTCACTGCCTCACTTTTCTTCTTACAGTCTTCTCCACCTACTTCACTCTCACAGTGCTATGGAAGAACTGCATTTCTCCCAAAAATTACTTGAAAGCAGGAGCAGAGCACGGTATTTTATGTGAAAGGTCCCTTGCTGAAATCCCCATTCACAGCCCAGCTGAGCACTAATTCCTCTACACTTTCTGTGACCAAACCTGTAATTAGAAGGTATTTCCTCATGGATGAGTTGAAGCTGGTCAAGGGTTTATCAGGCTCAATTGAAAATACAGGACACGCTGGTTTTACAGACACCCATAAACAGAATCTAAACACTAAGAACACTTCTAAAGCACATAAAAACCACTTTCAAACATTAACTAACATGATATGTGCACAAACCAGAGCAAAGAGGTCACAGGAATTGACCTGTTTTACACAGCTGTGCTCAATTCACTGACCTGGAACAGCCTTTAATTAGGCATTTCCATACTCTTAAAACAAAGGCAGAAATAATGCCCTTTCACACAAATAAGAGATTTGCAAATAAGTTTCCTAAACAAAATACAGCAGAGCAAAAACTCTTGAATCTATGAGGTGCTTACAGAGAAATTATTCATAAATGCCTTTCAAATCTGGCATGAAGCCTAAAATGTCTGAGGTATTGGCATTTCTGTACTTGGGGCTTTCCTAAGAAAACAGAAACTACAGTCAAAAACCCATTTGGAATCACTTTGTGTCAGCCACCATGTTACAGCTGTGTCCTGTCCAAGCTCCCACAACCTGCAATGTTCCAGCTGCTGAACATGACTAAACTGACATACAGAAAGTCTTACTTGTAGGAGGCTTTTCACAGGAGGATGGAGATAAATAGAAGATGCAGTAATGGGATCTAAGCAAACAGCACAGCCACACTCAAACACCCAGTTCAAACACTAACAGCACATTCTGACCTGTTTCAAGGCAAGATCTAATTCCTTTAACAGATTAACTCCTCCACCCTCAAAGCCATTTTGCCTCTCATCTCCCAGGTTGATTCTTAACAAATACTTAGAAAGGTGCACATTTGTGGCCTTAACTGATCCTAACACTCCTCAGATGACAAGAACATTGTTCCTGTCTCTGCATGACCTGCATTCTCTCTGTCTCAAGGGTTAAAAAATAAAAATCTGATCTCCACAGAGTAATTAATTCCAGAGCTGAAAAACTACCAGCCTGCCTTTCTGTCATATAGAAGGTCTACCTATATTTATTTCCCTGGTAAGATCCAACAGACAGAGGCAATGTGTTAAATTATTATAAACTTACGGTCCCATAACAGTCATGGAAAGCAAAGTCTGATATCATCTTAAATAAGGGCTGTTACACATTCCACCATCCTTAATCCAATTTAGGCAGGAGCAGAAAGGGCTGAAGCATCAGCCTTCAAAGCAGCAACTATTTGGTGGCTTTGCAAGATGAGCCTGGATCATGCAACACAGCTACTGAGGTGGGCAGCAGTATAAAATTGAGTGTGGCTGGGCTGCTGGAAGATGTCCAGATTCAGCACCATCTCTGAAATTCTGAAGAGTTATAACAATGAAGCTGTCTCCCCAAGAAGCAACCTGAGGCAGCACAGCACCCACTCTCCCATGGACTGGAATCTCTCTTGAGATCCACCAGGGAGCCAAGACCCACCTCTGGCTACAGATAGAGGCAAAGAAGCAATTTACTGAACTGCAGGTGAAACCTGCCAGAAGAGATCACAAAAAGAGAAAACTGTCTTTCCCAGAAAGCTAACAGCAGCAGTCAGTACAGCTCTGATGAGAAGTGGTGAACTGACAGCTCCAGAGGCCCAGCTCCTCTCTCCTTTCTCCCAGTACACACACGTGATCACTGCACACACTTCCTTACAGTACATTTTCCATTGGTCTTAATTTCTGGAAAATGAAGCACATTTAGTCCCTGGCCTTTCTTTTGCCACAGCAAATAAAGAAGTCAGTATGGGATTTAGGTGTGAAGAATTATTTTACAGAGAACTGTTAGTAAAACACATTCCCAGTCATTCCAGAAGGTTAGTTAACAGGAATACCTGAAGGAATGAAGAACGTGTAGCCTTGTTTCAGCTCAATTCTTTGGCACCGTTCCACCCTGTCTCCCAGAAAGATATCACTCTGCTTTCCTGAGAGAACCCATTCTTCATAAAGTTCTAGATTCTGCAGAGTAGGTGGAATCAGCCAGAAGATCTAAAAACAAAATAAAGATTTAACTATTACCAACAGACAACAAAAAAACCCAAACAGCTGAGAGACTCCACCAGGCTACCATGTGCTAGGCAAATGAGCTGCTTTCTGCATGAAGCACTTGTTTTCCAGGTGCTGTACACAGAGGCACACACAGACAGCAGCAGCAATTAGCCCACGTGCTGGAAGTGGCTGGGTAACTGTCACTTGTCATCTCTCTTCCAGAAATATCTTACTCAGAAGCTGCCTGTGGTTTACCTGCAGCTCAGAACAGCGTGTTGGTACAGTGGAGCTGTGCTGAGCTGCTGAGAGGAATGGGATCTGTAACACTGACTGACTTCTGTTCCCACCATACACTGTCCACACTACAGCTGGGATAAACATCCTAGACCAGGAAAGATGGCAATACAGCTGTACATGCTGTGTATTTTAAGGCTTCTGTATTCTTTAATGTTTCACTTATTGTGCTGTACACAGCAAAGGAAGGTGGAATCTCTAAAAGGAACAGAAGCTTTAGCTACAGGAGACTTGTGAGGGCACTCTGACCCAACAAGGGTACACACAGTCACATCTCACTGCAAGACACTTCTGGACCACACAGCAACAGTGAGCCTAAAAGCACCACCACCAGCAAATAACACATTTGGTATTTCAAATAAATCACTTGTTTGTTTCATAACGTGAGTGGTGTCCTTCTAGTTCAGCAAGCTCTGTGTATATCAACGAAGCTGCTGAAGCAGTCTGACCACTGCCTGATCCCCTCAAGGAAAAAAAAAATATAGAGAAAGAAAAGAAAAGAAAAGAAAAGAAAAGAAAAGAAAAGAAAAGAAAAGAAAAGAAAAGAAAAGAAAAGAAAAGAAAAGAAAAGAAAAGAAAAGAAAAGAAAAGAAAAGAAAAGAAAAGAAAAGAAAAGAAAAGAAAAGAAAAGAAAAGAAAAGAAAAGAAAAGAAAAGAAAAGAAAAAAAAGAAAAGAAGAAAAGGAGAAAAGATATAAAAGCCCTCCCCTCTGTAAGAAGCCCAGAGAAATAAAAACAAATATCAGAAAAGGTTCACCTACCTTCCCCCCACGGAAAACGTGATACCACACTGAAGTGCCACCAAAATCAATATGAAAATCAGTGAAGCATCCTTTCACACTCATCAAACAGTACCTGCAAGCAGAGTGAAGGACAAAAAGGAATCAGTCTGAAACAGTATTTTTCACATCTTAATTTGCAGAGGTTAACTGCCTGTGCAATGCTGCTTCCACCAATTAAGTTTCTGCATTTACAGTACAGGAATTTGTCTCATGGAGGTAACAAGGTTTCTGCTGAAAAATGTGTATCTCCATGTCTGAGTTTGCTGTTCATACAAGAGGAATTAAAGCTTTCAGAGTTAGGGAATAGAAAAACATTAAAAGTTAGACTGTTTAGAAATATTTCTTATGTCACTGCCAGTCCCTGGGGTGATCTGTTTAATGCTCTCCTTCATTGCTTCAGAGACACAACCTTCACCAAAAGTTGTACACAAATTGCTTCAAAGTTTTGAAAAATCTAATTTGCTTATAAATCCTCCTAAATGTTCTTTACCTACTTGCCACTCATTCCATTTTTGCAAAGATTAGGGGACAGAAACCTCATTTGGCAAACTAACTCCTTTTTGTTCACATTTCTAGGCATTCTGCATCAAAACACATAAAGGACCCAGCTGGCAGCCACACTAAGTATCAAATCCACTATTTTTTACGCCGTCTTGATACAGGATTTGAGCAGTTTAAAGTCTGCATTGCTGGAAAAGACACAAGAGCTGTGGTCTGGCTGCAGGAATCTCCAGCCTGCAGCCACCATCTGTAACTAATGGCCGAATCACAGCCGCCCTCCTCACTGTAGGCACCTTTGCAAACGCAGGAAACACACACCACTTAACCCACTAACCTCTTTTCCTTGTTCCGGTCTCCGATTCATGGCTTTTTTTTTTTTTTTGCTTTTTTTTTTTTTTTTTGGTTTGGTTTGGTTTGGTTTTTAAGGGGAGTTATGGAAACACTACCGGAAGGGGATTTGTTTTTGTTTTTTAAAAAAAAAAAAAAATTAAAAAAAAAAAGAAAAAGGAAAGGGAAAAAAAAAAAAAAAAAGGTTTGATTTAAGTGTGTCTTTTTCTGCTCACATTCAGGTAGGAGAAGCTCAGCAGTATGCAGCCGGCGTGCAGAAGTCCCTGTAGATGATAGGCTGGGAAGGACCTTACCATGTGTCTGCAGAAGGCTGGCAAATCAGAGCCACTCTGGGTCCATAAGAGCCGCTGCCTAGCAACCACATCCCGAGCCGGAGTTGACAGAATGATACGCAATGCTGTCATGAAGACAGTCAATTTGTGGGCTTCAAAAAAGGTCCTGCGCCTTCATCTCACAATTAAAACCTCTCCTTGTGCAATTACACGTCTCTCCTCTTGCCCACTCTGGATTTTTTTTAATTTTTTTTTTAATCCTTCAGAAGCAGGAAGAAGCTTTTGCTGCCCCTGGGGTATTTCAGATGCTTCAAAAATCACAGCTAGCCAAGAAGCTGTCTACACTCTCAATATGCTCCATTTCAAAATATGAGTCCTTCCCTCCCAAACACTTTTTTTTTTTTAATTTCTCCTTTTATGTTTTCTCTACCAAGATGTTGTTGATTACAAGTCAGATAGAATTTAAAAACAATAAAAGAAGCCCAGAAAGGAAGTTGCCTTTCTTCCAGCCAAACTGCAAAAAGTCACAGATTGAATAATTATTGCTCATTAGGAAAAAAAAAATCAGCATGGAAATTCTCAGCTTGTAAGCAGTGCTGACTGAGTATTAAAGGTTCATGTTGTTTCAAAGTAAAAAATTCAAATCCTTACGGAGTCAACTGAGTTTCCAGAAGGCCAGATATAAAATACATCACATATTAACAACAAAAAATTTTCTAGACAGTGCTACCTACCAACAATCACCCACTGAATTAAGATATTCTGCAAGAGCAAACACGGCCTGGGCATTAGCTGCTTTTAACTATTCTTCAGTAGTCAAAAACCTAAACCTGAACCAGTCAAACTGTTTATGTTCAGAGAGGAAACAACAGGATTGAATCCTGTCAAATCAAAGCACTTAAAATTTAGTTTTGTGAGAAAACGCCAAAACAGGTATTAACTGTGAACACGCAACTCTTTCGTTTCCTTGTTTTTCCCCATTCTCCCCTCTGTTTTCTTGAAACTCCTCTAAACACAATCTTCACTCCAATAAAGGTGGTTTTAGTGAAAGAGTCACATATGGCGATTAATAAAAACCTGCAAAGCATTTGGAAAATAAACTGTTTTTCTTTCCATCCACAAACAAGCCATGCCTTAATTTATGCTGGTAATCTCCCAGGCCTGCTTTTGTCCAAACCCAACAGCTCCCGGCCGGCTCAGGAGCCTGCAGGAGGATCTTCCGCCATCCAGCTCTCTCCCTGGTTGCCAGAGTCTGGCACAATGCCTTTGCATTGACCTCTACAGCTTCCTCTTCCAATGTACACCGCAGTCACATGGTCCCAGCACACTCCATGCCACAGCTAATCTCAGGCACAGCCTCAGCCAGCTCCTTCTCATCACCAACGAAAAAAAAAAAAAAAAGGGGAAAAAAAAAAAAAAAAGCCATAACACAGCATCCATGTTGAAAGAAATCTAGGAACTACATCCCACTCTGTGCTGAGGCCACAGCACTCTGGGCCAGGGCAGGTACAGTGGTTACAGGAACGCAATCCCACATCAGGCATGGGGATACAACCTGACCAGAGTTACACCCTGAAAACACAAGCAGGGCAAAAGATGCCCCAAGTTGAATATTTTCACAAGTGCTACCACATCCAACCCCTGTACACTCCACTTTATCTCCCTGCACAGCCTCAGTCAGGGTTTTAAAACACGCAGCTGCTTGTAATCTGTTGGGGGAAGCTTCCCGATTGAAGAGTTTGGTTTGTGCTCTCCACAAGCCTGAAATTTGTCCAGTTAATGTATTGTTATTTTGGAGGAAAGATTTGTGATGTAGAGAAAAGGGGAACTTCCCCCTCCCA